GATCCAATTATTTTCAGTTTGGATACAGCTCCCCTTTATCAATATCTCCATGTGCATAAATGAGATGAAAGTGGCATTCCAGAATTAAAAAAAGAGCCGGAACTTGTGTCACTGGGCAGACTCGCTCCGTCTGGAAGTGTGCGGCCGGCCTCTCCCACGCAGATTTCTGACGTCCGGCCCTAAATCTTCCTCCCGAAGTGACATCTTTTTATAGGTTAAAGACAAGAGGGAGTTTAGGTGTGCAGGCGAACTTACAAATAATGACAAAAAGAAAAAGGATGCTCAAAGAGAGAAAAACACATCTACTAAATCAGCCAACCCGGTCCCCTTCCGAGTGGCATCAAAGAGGCGGTGGACATTTCAGTTGGGCGCAGAGATTCTCCCAACAGCTCTTGCATGGAATCGAGAGCACGGTTCTCTGCTCCCAGGCTCTTCGGATTTCCTAGACCCAATCAGCTGGCTTCTGGACCACCAAGTAAATGGGCTACCTGCACTGAAAGGCAAACAGCAACTGGTCCCCACAGACCCTCACAGGCCGAAAGCCTCGACACCGAGACACAAAGATGGGAGATGAAGGGAGAAAAGCGGCAGAGCTGAGCAGAGTTGGCATCTGCCAAGAGGCACGCGGCACCAGAGAGCTCTGCGCGGTCCTGGGAGGAAGTTCTTGTCACTGCAGTCAATCTGAAAAGCTTCTAAGTGATTTGGGGATAGGAATAAAGAAGAACAACCTGCCACAATGGTGCGGAGGACCCCCTAAAACAGCCCCCCGCAGCCGAGGGTGAGAGGACGTACGGGGTGGTTTGTTGAGATGGCTTCACTGTGTGCTGGAAATTTCATTCACGAACACTCAAAGAATTCCGAGGCACGGAGGTAGCAAGAGCACCTGTTTTGTGTATTCCGAGCTGATAAGTTCTCTCTCTCAGTCACTCATTCATACATTCACTCAAATACGCACTTGACTGTTTTAATATCTCTACCTCTGAGCTTATGACTCTTTCATTTGAAAGGGTCACCGAGGAGCTCAGTGACTTATTCCTATGGTTACAACGTGTGTCCCAACATGGGAACTGGAGCCCTACCTGGGTGCTCCAGGCCCCACGTCCAACCCTACACAACAACGTCCCATAAGGTGCGATGCACAAACCCAAGGCCACATGTCATGAAGTCCGCGTCCTACAGACGGCAAGTTGCCCCTCCCTAAGCCCCTAAAAATCTAGCTAATTCTACCCACTGTTGCTGCCTCTACCCTTCTTCAGCATCCCCACTCAAAATCAATATTTTAAGTGTGTGCTTAAATGGTATCAATAGCAATTAGAGAGGGGAATTCTGATTCCACCCCAGATGTAGTTAATTGTTACCACATCGATCTCCACCGCACTCCTCTCTCCAAATTAAACCTCCATTACATAGTGGGGATGAAGGGCATCGTCTCCCCTCCTGCGACAATAAATTTAATATCGAATGCACTGGAAAAAAACGGCCGTTGCTGCAGAATCCATCCAAAAAGATTTTTTTTTTCTTCCTGGGAGTAATTAAAAGATGCTTTTCTTGACTAATGATTCCCCGGCTTAGGAATGGGAAGTCAATACCGCTTGGCCGCCGTCAGCTTCGATTGATCACGATGCTGTTCAAGTTTGCACGGCCGTTCTCGGGGAGGCTGAGAATGACCGGAACCAATTATGAGCCGTCCAAAGCTGCCCTAATCAGGGGTGCAGGGACAACACGCAGGAGGCCAGCCAGCTGGTCCAAGGCTCCTGTTCTCCTAACTTACCGGCTTGCAGGTCTGGGTGACAGCAACGTGGGGTGGTTTTGGGGGTCTGAGCTGTTTCTTTGGAGAAGGATTTGTTGCGTTTTACAGGGTCCTGAATCGGTGTGCGTGTGTTTCTGGGGGGTGGAATGGCACATTTCTAATTATATTCCACTGTCAGAATGAATCTTCTGAACAAGATGGAATGGACTGGAGCTTCTCAGGAAAACAGCTGGGCCCTTTTTTAAACGATTAGACCGGATATACTGCACTTGGCTTTTCCTTGGATAGAGATAAAATTTTACTAAAATATTTCTTTTCAGTGTTTCCTTAGGGCCACATTAAAAGGCCCCTCCAGCTGCTCATCCTAATACTCCGAGGTTCTGCAGAGAGACCAAGGCGGGTGGGAGGGAGGGGGTGTCTTTCCCTGTCGTGGAGAAGCAGGATCAAGACTAGATATCTATTCTCACATAGCAGACTGACTTACAGGTGGAAATTCTAGCCCACACTTTGAGTTTTTCATTCCCATCTGAGGACCCGGCAGGAGGCAGTGAAGGTGGTGAGTGTTTGAATTATTACTATACTACTGTGCTGACTTGTTTTTGATTTTTGACAATGTATCTAAGGCTATGCATATGGTCCACCAGGACCACAGCCTTCCACATGGCCTCCTTGCCTCATTTCCTCCCTTTCCAATGGTGCTGCTGGCTGCCTTTAGTCCTCTTGGGAACAGGTGGGACACCTACAAACACCTCAACAGACCCAACAACTCACCCTCCGCCCACCCCTAGAGTCGCCGTTACACCACCACCCCTGGCTCGAAGGCTCTCCCAGGCCTTTTCTCTGTTTTGGCTTTGCCCACCCCCCACTCCCCCTGTTTTACTTGAGGGTCTAGCCCCATGGGTGACAACTCACTGTTTTCCACACTTCCCTAGGCACCTTGAGGCTTCCACATTCCTGTCTTCACCCAGGCCACTCCCATCCTCCAGCACATGCACCCCCGACTCCCCTAGGCCAGGAAATCACCCCACATTTTAAAGTCCAGCTCAGATGCCATTTCTCCATTGAAACCTCCCTGGATCCCACAGGCTGTAAGAATGCCTCTGTTTTCTGAGTCCTCCCGAGTCCCGGCATCCTCAGCCGGCCCTGAGAACAGTCACCAATCACTGCAGAGTTATGATCACCATTTATCATTTCTTTTCTATGAGAAAGCGCTCCATGAATATTTGCTGAATTTAATGAAAAACAAAACTCTCTGGGAGAACTGCGAAAGGCACAAAGAAACATCATTCTCCAATGTGTTTCACCTCCTGGAGGTGAACGGAACTCAGAAATTCCAAAGGAACCTGTGGAAACACCACGTGACCACATCGCCATTATCAAAGTCTCGGAGAGGAGTTACCCCGCGGCACAGCTCTTTAGGAAAGTGAACGTGGCCAAAAGACAGGTGGGATTTCGCTGCAGTCGCTCCATTTGTGAGAAAGGAAGACTCTGAAACGTCTCTAAAATATAAAGATGTGATGTGCATAACACTAGATAGAAGAGAACATCACACACTCAAGAGCTTACACACTCAAATACACAAAATAGCACTAGAAGACACCCGTATACACAGTCTTCACTTACGAATGAAGATGAAATTACTATAAATATTTACCTTTTCAAATATTAACCACATCTCTGTTCCCAATTATTCTAAATGATTTCTAATCATAATAAGTGGAAAAACAAACTTCCCTAATTCACGATATTAAAAATAGTATATATGCTCCTTTTACACATACACAGTAAAATGCATAATGTTCATTTTTTCCAACTTATTTCCATTAGTGTTTTCTGCATCCATGCATTACACTCAATCCAACTTCCAATCATTTTTCATTTTCAGACCTAAACATCCTTCAAGGAAAGCATAAAACTATGACAAAATAAATATTCAAACAAGAACAAATCTTTTAAGAACGCTCCTAGTTGATGACTCAGCTGATTTCTGTGTTAGTGTTAGACAAATCAAGGTAAATAATTTTAAAAAGCGTATCATTTCTTCGGTCTGTAAGGAAGTTGCCCACATTTACATGACATGGTATAAGTCACATATAAAGAGCTCACGCAGCAAACCCATGCAATTCTAAACAAATAGACTCTGCGCCCCGTTCCGGCTCCCTCCCCTCCCCACAGAACACCTAATGTGAACAGCAGGGTTAATAACACACCAGCTTCACTCTCTCTCTACAGCAAACCGAAGTGGCACCACAAATTCATTTTTCAGCATTAAGGAAATAAAGTCCACCAACACTTTGCATGTTATCATGGCTTAGTGGCGGAAACCGATTTTTTACCGCTCACACGTGGCGCAACCATAGATGGCCATGTGCGCTTGTGTTGTCTGATCGCCGGCAAGACAAATCAGAGAGATTTCAAAAGCGCTAATGATGGGAGACATCCTCTCTCCCCTCGACTCTTCCCACACCCGAGAAGGGAATACTATAAGCGACCCCACACCCCTACTGCGGATGTAGGAGGCAAACCCCTAGAAGCTTCTCCCTTAGGACAACCACAGGGATGGAATGGTCCATTCTGCTTCTACGAAACAGGCTTTCTCAGAAGACCTGCCATTTTATCACCTCTTAGGTATATTAAATATGTATGTGTACTCAAAAACGGTTTATAATAGCTGTAAATGAAAAATGAGAAACTAAATGGCCTCAAAATAAATGCGCTTTTTTCACCGAATAACAATTAACATTAATGAGGAGTCACCATACGCTGTGCCAAACTTGGTTGATTAAATGTGTTAGAAATATATTTTGGAAAATAAAATATATTTTGCTATCATAAACTCACTTCTTGTGGGTGTAGGGGGAGGGGAACCCGATTGAATAGATGCTCATCAAAGATATAAGAATAACAAAATTGAAGAATCAAAGATTCACAATTTGTGTTAACAGCGCAGTCTATGCCTATTAGAAACGTATTAATTAAAGTGGTACATTCATAAGGTTAGAAGCCTAACACATTTCTAAGAGGAGGAGAGGAATCCCAAAGTGTAAAAACAAACATAAAAAATTAAGGAGTTTGAATTATCCACGTCTGCTGAAGAGTAATTTTAAATATAGACATTTCTGTGGCAGGTTAATCAGCAATTCTACAGGTTGCCAGGGCACTTCGTAATTGTGGCTGTCATTCAGGTCATTCCCAGTTGGCTAACTGCTGGCAAGATGCCCCATAGCCACACACCTTCCCAACTCCCTACCTTGTGGAGTCCAGCGAGGGCTTCGTCCGCCCCTGGCTGCTCTCTTCCCACACACTGTTGGCCAGCTCGTTCCCAATGGACGACATCACCTTGATGAGCTCAATGGGCCAGTCGTCCAGGTCCAGGGATCGGACTCGAGAAAGGTGGGTGCCAAGATTCCGGTGGATCCCTGAGCACTCGATGCACATGAGGGCTCCCAAGTTCAAACTGGCCCAGTTGGGATCTGTGGGAAGAGGAACAGAGCGCCACATGTGATCAGATCATCAGCCCTCATCCCACTGCCCTTTGGATCTGAGGAACAAAGCGGCCAGTCAGTCAGACATCACATCCAGTAGTCCCTCCCTAGAATCGCACGGCTTGAAAACACTGCCTGGCCGGAACTCGGGACTGTTTTAGATGTTTCGAAAAGATTTGACAGGTTGGTGGCAACTTTTAAAAATCTGGCTTTAGTCAAAGTCTTTGAATTTCCCACACAATAAATAATTGCAAGTTGGCTTGGACAGAAAGATGCGCTTTCCAATACTTCAACAGCAGCATTCCCCTTGAGAGGGGAGATGCACGTGGAAAAAAAAAATCATCAGTGACCTGGTGTCCACTGTGGACGGCTGCTGATAGAGGGGAAGAGAAGGGATGCTTTGAGAAGAAAATTCTCAAGGCTATAATGTCCCTCATAGCCACCTTTGGAACCAGGGCACATCTAAGTTTTCATTGGTCACATGATGGGGATGCTTGCAAATTTCAAAGACGAAAGAAAGGCACATTACAATGAAAAAAATATGGTTTTCAGTGATCTTATTTAAGGGTAACCGCTGAAGCAACGCCCAGTTGTCCATTCTTCACTGCTGCCAAGATGGCGGGCAGGGTCCTTTGGTAAGGTTATTACTGAGCTCTATCAACCCTGACTCGCAGAATGAACGGCAACATGCTTTATTGCATGCACCAAGGACAAGGAATGAGTTCAGAGAACAGCACTGGGACCCCTGAGCTGGATCACTCCCCGCGTGAAACTAGCTGACATCATCAGAAGACTGAGAACTCAGGCCCGGGGCTGGCTTCATGCTAGAATCTACAGCTGATTTGCGAAGATGGGGCTGACCTTGACAGTCAATGGATTTAACCACCGACAGAAGCAAGGAAGGCTTAAATCATCCAGGAATAAGCAATATTTCCTCCAGGTACACTTAACGAGTCAATAAAATAACAGGTAGCTGACATCATATTTATTTTGAATCATTCTATAAATGGTAAATGATTAGGAAAGGGCTTATGCCAATTCATTGGAAGTCAGCCAGCCATTTATTTAATATCCACTATACACTCAGGAAGGTGGTGAGAGATACCATGGGTGATACACAAGAAGGGAGGTCTGTGACCTCAGAGACGTTCTGGTTAGGAAGGGAAATATGCTGCAAATAATAATAATTAAAAAAAAATAAATGGAACAAGGGAATGCAGATTAAATGCTGAAGAGCACAGTCAAAACAATAAATACACAGGTATCGTGGGAAGGAAGAGGTGAGCCATAGTGGGTATAGATGGGAAGGCTGCATGGAGGAGGTTTGGCCTGCGCCTCGCAGGGTTTAGGGAAGAGCATGGTGTGGTGGACGGTTGGTGGAAAGTCAACACCCCCTCCACCTCTGGCTTTCACCTGTGTCTCCACTCTTCTTCACAGCCCAACTTCTACAACGGCCACCTCTGCTTCTGCGCCTCCTAATTGTTGGCAACCTGGCCTCCATCCCCACCTTTCCCCTGGAACAGGGCAGCCAAAAGTCACTAGCTACCACCATGGGCAAGATCCAAAGGACCCTACTCAGCCATCGTTTCCCTCGACTTCTTGATACTCCTCCTTACAATACTGCCTCCGGATGCCTCTTTGGTCAAGACTCTCTTTGGATTTTTTTCCCCCACTTATCTGGTTGTTGCGTCTTGATTTCCTTCCCAACTTTTCCTCCTGAATCTGTTCCCTACCTTAGGGGGTCCTGCAGCCATCTCTTCTGATTCTATATCCTCTTCCAGGCAAACTCAACCCAACCCATGGCTTCTCTTATGACCCAAACGCTCACCACCATCCACAGATATCTCCTGCCTGCTCCTCTCTCTTGAGCTTCATGCAGTTACCATTGCACATTTCTATGGATATCGCGCAGGTACCTCCCTGTCCATGTTTCACCCTGTAAACGTGGTCTTCTGCAAGGGACCTGTCACTGGCAGCAAATGGCACCAGCATTCACTTTGTTATTCAAGCCAGGATCCTGGCAACCAACCCGATCCTTTCATCATTCCCCAGCCAATCGCCAAGTCCTCAGTCTCACAAATCCAATGCCTTCTTCTTGTCCCCACTGCTCCCACGCTGGTCCAGGGCACCATCACAGCAGGGATGCATCAGCCTCCTGCCTGCCACTTCACCTTCTTCTTCCCTGCAGTCCACTGTCCACATATCAGCCAAGGGTCTACAGGGCGCATCCAATCACGTCATGCTCCTACTCAAAACCCATCTGTGGCTGCCATTTGCCATTGGGATCAAGTCCAAAAGCCCTATCAGCAAGATCAGAAACTGGTCCCCATTCCCACCTCTGTCTCTCAGGAGCATTTCAGTTCCCTGACCTCTTTGTGCATGATGTCCCTTTGCCCAGTCAACTTCTCCTCATCCTGCTGGTCTCAGCAGAAATCTTCCTTCCTGGGGGATGACCCCTCCCCCCAGCTGTAGGAAGACCCCCTGCTAGGAGTGCGCTGCCACCGGAGACCTGTACATGCACGATGCCTTGTTTCATGACCGCCTTCCCTGTGGAGCGGCAGAGCCCTGGTGGAATGAGCATCTTTTAGTTCACACTGCCTCCCTAGGATCTGCCTCCACTTGCAGTTTTCAGGTGAATGAAAGACTGGCTCAACTAAAGCAGAGGACACGCTTAAGGGGACGGCGGAAGGTCAGGGTGGCCAGGGAGGGGCAGACATACTAGAAAGCCATGGGGTTCCTGAGCAGAGGAAGAGCTGGAGTGGGTGGGAGCAGACAGGGTAAGAAGAGAAGCGAAGAGAGAGGCTCGTGGGGGCAGCACTGGGCATAACAATGGAATTAGTCAATGCCACGTGCACTTGGCACCAGGACGGTTGGTCCATCTGCTGGGAATGCTCAGACCCACATCAGGGGACCCGATCTTCAACTCAAACAACAGATCCAAAAAGGGGTGCAAGCTCTGTAGCCTCGTGCTGGCATCCAAGGTGTGGATAGGTCCCACGTGTCATGCAAGAACTCCCAAGAGGTTCCAGCAAGTACAGCACCCGAGGCCACCGAGCCTGTTGTATTTCCAGCTAAATTCAACACTGAATTCATCTTCCCTCTCCATATCCTCCTCCTTTATGTCCTTAAGTGGCTCCCCCCGCCACTTCTCCCTCTCCTTTATGTCCCCACCTCCCATCACCAAGTGCTGTGGTTAATATTTTCACACACTGTCCTCATTGTTACCAAGTACATATAGAGCCCTATTCTTGCTCACCTGAACTGCTCCAAGAACCTCTTATTAGGTTCTGATGCCCACCCCACCACCCCAGCCATTCTCCATGAGCTGTCTATGGACACGGAAACCCAATGACCCTGATCCCTTGTTCAGAATTCAGACCACTGCCACCCCTGCCCTCCTCCCCTACAAGCTTCAGCAGCTCCAAGACTCTGCCCTGGTGCCAGACCTGAAGGATGACATCCACGCGCAGGACGCGTTCCAATGACCACAGGTAGATGATGGTGAAGACCAGTGTTCTGGGATGCGGCAGGTATGTAGCCAGCAGGCTTCTGGAGGTCTGGAGCATCCTCAGCAAGAACACGGGCGGGTGGGGGGCATTTCTGCAGCTCCAAATCCCACACCTCATGGAAATCCACAAGCCTCTTCTTCCCCAGAGGCAACACAGTTGAACCGGTGGGAAAGCGTTCACGAGCCAGAGGGAACCGCCCAGAGCAGATGTGGTGCCCAGAGCCCACGGTTTCTCCCACACCACCACTGGACACGGGACAGTGAAGCCACGGGCCTCGCCCTCAAGCGGGGGAATAAGCCAACGGAGGGCCTATGCCCTCGACCCCCCTTTAATCTTCACTTAACCCCTTTATAAGTATAAAAATAACACAAGCTCATTTGAAGAAATGTGTAAACTAGAAAGAACAAGGAGAGAAAACCTTTGGAACTACCACCCACCTCACTCGTGGTCAACTCACTTTTTTATTTGTATGTATTTCTACAAATAAAATGTACCACAAACAAAACTTTCTCTTACTTTTGTTCACCTAACAATACACATAAGCACTTTCTCTAAGAATAATTCTTAACGTCGTAATACTTCATTTATTAGCCAGTTCCTTTCCTGTTGGAGACTGAGGCTGCAGCCAATTTTCTCTCCAACACGGCTGTGAAGAACACGAGTGTGGTGCTCTTTGCTCTCATTTCCATGCTGCCCCATTACATTTTACAGAGTAACCAATTTCCCCTAATTTGACCCTGTTCCGAGATGGGTATCACGGTCTTAACACTGACGCTCCTCTCTCTGGCCAAGGAACGCTGTCTCGCTCTGACAGCCTCCTGAACTGCGTGTGACTCACGTTGTCGTCAGTATCTGACCCATAATTATGTCAACAGCCAGGCCAGTGGGGACCGTGCACGGTTTTGCCAAAGCTCCACGCAAAGAGAATGGAGGCTGGGGGGATTCTGCCCCTCAGATAGCTATGTGAACTACGGAGGCCATCAACGCTCCGTGAGTATCACCTCCGGCTGGACATGCCAAGCGGAGCAGTGCACGGCTTCCGTTCCAACAGGCCGGCCACAGCGGAGTTACAGTCAGCTCTCTGTGATCACCCCCTCAGCCTCAGCACAGCTCTGCAAGAGCCTGTGGGTGATACTGGGGTTCAGCCGGTGAGCTGTGCCGAGGGGCTCTGCAGCCCACTGGGCACCCCACAGCCAGGTCTGCTCTGAGCTGCTCCCGGAGAGGCGCGCTTCCACATGGGCAGGGTGTCACTGACAGCAGAGACTGTCCTGAATGTGCCTTGGTGGGGCAGATGTGGACCTGGTCCTCCAGGATGTGGTTTGAGAAGAGTTTTCTGGAAGTAAAAGGAGCCTATAGACACAGCACAACATGGCTACAGGGGAGAAGAGACAAAGCTATCTAGGACCCAAAAAAGTTATTTTCTTGCTGTTGCCAAAAAAACCTACAAACAGGGTCCGGCCCCGTGGCATAGCGGTTAAGTTCGTGCACTTCTCTTCGGTGGCCTGGGGTTCGCTGGTTTGGATCCTGGACTCAGACCTACGTACCAACTCATCAAGCCATGCTGTGGCAGGTGTCCCACATGTAAAGTAGAGGAAGATGGGCACGGATGTTAGCTCAGGGCCAGTCTTCCTCAGCAAAACAAACAAACAAACAAACAAAAAAACCCACAGAAAACAAAGCAAAACAAAAAAACCCTTAATCAGTAAGAACAACAAAAACTCTCCCAGGCTACATACCAGTGGGAGGCCCTGGGCTTGGTTCCCAAGGACCGGTGACAAAAAGCATGGGGGGCACTTGCCCAAGGTAGGGCTTCAGCAGCAGAATGTGGAAGCCCAGATCGCAGTGGCTTTCAAGAGAAGCCCCAGCCACATCTATTGCCTGGCAGGCCCGCCCTCTAGGCCACTCCTTGGCTCAGGCCTGCCCTTCCTACCTGAACCCCCCTAACTCTGGGGCATGCCTGATGACCTTTTAGCCATGATGCTCAAGAGGGCTGCAGAGGTGTCCTGCACACTCCTTGGAAGAAACTGCAGAGTGCTGCTTGGAAGACAAGAGTAGGCGACAAGGAGACACAGGCAGGGCCAGACACCAGGCCCAAAGGCTGTGAGGAGAAATCTGGGCCTCGTGGAAAGCTGCAAGCTCTTCTTGACAGCTTCCTTTTCTTCCTCTCAACACCCAAAAACAAGAGCCTTTCCTTACATCTAACGTTTGACCTCTCTGTGTTCTTGCACACACCGAAATACGGACCACCCAATACTCTAGTTCCTAAGACATACATGCTCACTATAGAAAAATGAGACAACCCAAATCACCAAAGACCCCAATGCTCAGATGCCTGGGGAAACGCTCTGGAATGCATCCTTACAGCTCTTTCCCCCTAAGTACCTGAAGAGACTCGCTGGGTTCTCCCCGACTTATCGCCCTATATAATTTCATTTTGCAATGCATCGTAATGTTTCTCCACCTCAACGAATATATTCTGGACATCACTTTTTAAGGCTGCCTATTATTTCACGATGAGAAGACATCAGCCCATGAACAGTTCGTAAGTTTCGCACATTTGGGATGTTCTGATTTCCTGCTCTATGAACAGCCCTGTGATGAACATCTTTGAAGCTAGATGTCTGCGCCCTTCGCTCATTCCCACAGGCTTGGTTCCTGGAGGTGTACAGCTGGGGTGCGGGGCGCCCACTTGTTGAAGGCTTTATGTACATTGCCAAACCGCCCTGCGGATGTCTTACAGCTCATCGTTCTTCTGAGCACTTTCACCCAAACCGGGTATTTGACTTAAAAAAATACAGCAGGTGGCAAAGAGCTTGGTTTGAATCCTGCTACATGACTTGCTAGTTTTGTGATCTGGGATATACAACTTGACCCTCAGACTCTTCATTTCCTCCCCTATAAGTGGGGCCCACTGTGGCACCAAGCATGACAGGGTCACAAGAATGAAAAAAGACAATGCATGAGAGGATTTGGCACAGGCCTGATGGAGATGGAGCGTTTAAGGAATGGAAGCTTGTTCCCTCTTTTTTTCTCCAGAGTTGTCAAACGTGGCCTCTCCTCGTTCCCTTTGTCCTGTAATTCTTGCTCAGGTGGCCTTGCTCTGAACAAACTTGTCCCACAGCCTCCCCCACCCTCGGCACTCGCATGCCCAAGCCCGCTCTCAGAAAGGATTCCTGACCTCCAATTTGGCACATACCACGAAGCGTGTGAGCGACAGAATCGTCCCTTTTAAAGGACTCTTTACATGTACGGTGGAAACAATCGTGGAGGTTTCTCCTAATATTTCTCAGATTTTGTGCTTTTAAAGACCTTACTTTAAAAAACTTTTTGACAAAAACATACTTCAAATAACTACTTCTCTCCTCTAACTCGACTTCACGACACGTTTTGAAAGTAAAATTGGAGAATTCAAACCCAAGAAGACACTTTAAAGACATACCTCAAGATGCTTGAAGAAGAGACCACTTCTGTCACCCGGAGGCCATGGACATGGCCTCTCGGTCTCTCCCTGTCCTGTCCTACCAATGAGTGGTCTCTCCGAGGGGGCTCTGCCCTTCCCTTTAAAGTGCAACCACCCTGAGTTAGTGCCTCGTTTCCTCCTGGTCAGATGACCAAAATCCACTTGCTGGCCTCGTCCTCACTCTGCCTCTCTATTCCAATCTGTCTGAGATGGAGCCCCTGGGCAGTCTCCCCAGGCACAGCTCAGAATCTCGGGCCTGCTCTGAAACTCTGTAACGATTTCCATCCTTTTACCAAGGAAGGATAAAGGCTTTAACATTCTCCACTTAGCGCCCTCATCTTCTTGGCTCCAACCAGCTTCCAACCTGGGCAGCAGCGGCCTTTTCCTCAATGCACCCAGAGCCTTGACTCATGATGACTCCTTCAGTCACTAGCTCAGAGCCTACCCATTCCCAGAGCCCCACATAAACGCCAACTCCTGCTTGAAGTCTGCTTTGAGTTGCCGAGTGACCCCTCGTGGCCCTTCTCCACGGTGCTGGGTTTTCTGGTTACTGGGTGCAGCCTGGCCCGCTGGGTTTCAGGCTCTGGGGTGACCAGGACTGCATCACACACATCTTTGATTCCTAGGCAGCACCCGGCCTGCTGCCAGTGCCTTTTATCTTGTTTCAAACGGATTTCCTTCTCCTCAAAACACCTTAATGAGCCAGCCCTGATGGCCTAGTTGCTAAAGTTCAGTGCGCCCCGCTGCAGCAGCCCGGGTTCTGTTCCCAGCTGCAGAACCGCACCACTCGTCTGTCAGTAGCCATGCTGTGGTGGCAGCTCGCATGGAAGAACCAGAAGGACTTACAGCTAGAATATACAACTGTGTACTGGGGCTTTAGGGAGAAAAAAAAATGGGAAGATTGGCAACAGATATTAGCTCAGGGCAAATCTTTTCCACCAAAATCCCCCAAAACCCGAAAAACACACACTTTAACAACAGCAACAAATATGACTGGAAAACATTACAGAACGTGCCCAGCACTGTGCTAAGGGCTGGAACATCAAGAATGAAAAGTCCTTAATCTCAAGGATGTGAGCAACGAAATGGGAAAACAGCAGTACCTATGGACAACAGAGCACGCGGGAAAACCAGGTTATTCCAAGGCTTGAAGTGGTAATTACCATGTCTGTTAGTTCACTCAAATGCTTTAGTGTGTAGGGAATTTAAGATTAAAAAAAAAAAAAAAAAAGACACCACTTGATGGCAAAATCCAGAACACATAATTTTGAAATTAAAAAAACAAACCCCAGAAATCTCCAGGCAGGAACGAACTGATTGTACTCCGTTTTTATGGAAAAAGCACACAAGCCTATGATCGTGATGAAGGAAAAAGTCGATTCATGGATACGGCACAGAATCTGGGCATGCAGCCGAGTCCTTCACTCCCACACGCACAGTGGGACCGCTGCTCACCGGGATGCCTGAGGCCTAGGCAGGACTTAGAACAGTGTCAGCGAGCTTTCATGTGAAGAGTATTGTGTTAAAATAAAATCCAAAGAGAAATATTTCAATTCCTTAAAAGCCATGAAGTCACATACTAAACCTCGGACGCCAAACGGTGGATGTGGGTTCAATGCCATGTGGGCTTAGTCAGAATTCGCTCCCCCACCCCTGCCCCAGGTCTCCTGCTGCCCAGGGCCAGGCCCCCTCTCCCCGCACACACTTACTCTGTGTCTCGCAGTCCACACAGTGGGAATTCCCCCGGATGTTTCGTATCGACTGCAAGGCCATGGCCTCACTCTGGCTCGTCAGTCGGGACTGGGCATACAGGAAGACACATAAATGCAAGACGTAAGAACGAGAAATTTATATCTCTACTAATAGCGTCAGGGGGAAATCAAACAGATGGTGAGCAAACAGAGGATGAGGGCGATTTCAGACAATGACCCCGATGGAGAATGCGCTATGCACCGTGAGGAAATATTACATGGTAAGATCTATCAGATGGACGCCTCCAGCGGAAATGAGGACAGAGGTAAGTTCTGTATCATGTGTGGATGAACATGAGACCCACTGCCCCCTGGAGAATGTAATTGGTTAACATACTTTTACTGTCATGTGTCTACTCGGTGTGAAGATTAAAGAAAGAGAAATAACCTGTGTATAAGCCAAGAGTCAGGGCTGAATCAACATCCTAACACACGTCTCAGGACTGCTCGTTAGGACACCACGTCCACACCCCACTCCAGGCCTGGGAGAGGCACTTTTCACTTTAAGACAATGTCAGTTGCTACGGCATGAAAGTCACTAGCCAGTGTGGGGACAAGGAGGAGTGTGAGTGTAGCTGGGGGCACGTATTCTTAAATTTATACTTAATTATCTTTGCTAAGCAAGTTAAAAAAATATAGAAGGGGAAAAGGACAACATAAAAATTTATAAACTATGACATGATCACCCATAGTTCAGTTTATTCACATTTGGATACTACTCTTCCAGCCTTCTTTGAAAGCACATCTGCACGCATATGGTCATGGGCCACATAACAACGTTTCAGTCAGTGATGGACCATCTATATGATGGTGGTCCCATAAGATCAGTACCATGTAGCCAGGTGTGTAGCAGGCTCTACCATCTAGGTTTGTGTAAGTGCACTCTGTGACGTTCGCACAATGATGAAATCACTTAAAGATGCATTTCTCAGAATGTATCATTGTTATTAAGCGATGCATGACTATACATGTACTTTAAAAAAAGCCAGCATCACATATATATACATATATATTTATTTACTGCTTTGGAAACTGCCTTTGCAGCCTAATGACATATTGCTCTCTCTCCACACCACCACGTGTTCTCCAACAGCATCATTTTAAATGGCTGCATAATATTCCACTTATGACAACTTAGTTATGAAGTTTTCTGTGACGGACATTTAGGTTGCTTCCAATTTTTCTCTATTCTATTACAAACAGTGCTGTAAAGAATATGTTTACTGCTAAATCTTTGCACATATTCATGATTATTTACTGAGGATAAATTTCTGGAGGTAGGGGAGTGCTAGGTGAAAGGATATGTACTATTTTAAAGCTTTCGATGCATACATCTAATATACTGGTTAAAGCCAAATACACTTCAGAAGACACTCACAACACACTTGATTTTTGTATACGAATTCTTCATAAACTGAACCATCCCATGTAAAATTGTCTGAAGTGCAACAATTTATCGCTTGCTACCTAATAATAAATTATAACTGATTAATTGCTACTGTCTAATTAGCATAATACATTACTGGGGTTTTATTCCCTTTGGTTAGATACCCGAGAATTCAAAGTATGTTTAACAATTTATACTGGCATCTGGCGTGTGTGTGCGCGTGCGCACACATATACAGGGACGTGTCTGTCTGTCTACCTGTACCACTTCTACAACATATGCATGCATACATACGTCTACACTAGCTACCAACTCTGAATTATCCACAGGCAGCAAAAATTCCTTATAGCTCATTCTCAAGTGAGTCTGTATCTTCCCCTCAAGCTACTCCTCGTGGATATTATTTCCATGCTGTACACTTTCTCGCCTGTTCAGCACACGCCCAGGTAAACAGACGCGAGCCTGCCTTCCTCAGTGCTCAGTGAGTCCTCCTCCCAGGGGAAGCGGCCGCTGGCGAGCGCACATGTCCAGTGAGAGACAAGGGGCAGCATTTTAAGGCTGGTGTTTGCCTCAGGCCCAGAGGCAATGCCGTCTGTTTTCATAAAGAGCTGGGGAGAGTCTGGTAAGGGTGTGAAAGGAAAAAGGCCCACGCTTTCCCAGATCTTCCGGAATCTGCATGATGTGGCATGGATTCAGAGTCTGACTTGGGATACTGTGATTTTATATAAAACTTGGAGATGCGTTTGTCTGCTCAGCCACATGTGTCCTCCTACGCCTTTCAGAAACTAAATTCCCATGTTTTGTGGGTGACACGTGTCGTCGATCCCCATTGACAAGGAGGCCTGGGAGCATCCTGTATTGGCTTCAGTGCCACGTCTGTGGCTGCATGACTCAGTAAAGCCAAGGTGCTCAGAAAGGAAAGGCTGGGATTCTTTCCACCTTGGGTATAAAACATCTTCAAAAAAGAGAAGCAAATTACATTATAATAATAATGACTATGGTCTGGTTTACCCTGGTTAAAGAGGGTAATAAAATAAGACAGTCCATCTTTCTGAGAGACAGACTCTCTTCCTAATGACAAAGTGGAACATAAATCACTGGCAGAAATTTCTTTAAATGGTTACAAATGAAATTGCAGGTTGGTGGGCAATGTCCTTTCTCTCAGTTTCTAGTTGATTTTAATTGGAAAAATCAAGCTGCTCTCCAAGACTCTAAAAGGTCCCAGAGAAGGGGTTAAAAACATCTAAGCATTAAAATAATGAATTTGAAGGAATCTCTAATGGGAGAAGGAAAATGGGAAAAATGCCTTTTGCATAAGGAGTATCACTGGGCAGTAATCTAGAAAACGCAGGTTAAAGTCTTTTTTTTCCCCCCAAGCTAAACAAACGCAAAATGCAAAAGAATCACGTCTAATTGAATAAAGCATATACCACGTTTTATCAGCACAGTTTGGAAAATGACATTGTGTCCTCCCTAAGGTCTGTGGATGCCCATATACGGGCATCTACTTTTCATTTCCGTCTGTAACAAGAGTCGGTTTTCCAACCTGACATGAATTTGAATTTTGGGCATTTATGATAACAGAACAGTGCATCTCTTTTCTTGAGTGCATTCTGCCTAAAACAAAAATAAATGTGGCCACATAAGCCAGAAGAGTCCAAAAGATTCCATCATCTACAATAAAAGGTCAATGCTTTCTCTTTGGGATTAGTTGAGAGAGTGAAGATTTAAAATGGCATAGTCTGCCACACAAACGTGCTTAAGCTAGGACACTAATCCACCTTACATGATACATATCGACACAAAGTGTTTTTCATCTTTTCAATTACTTAGCTTTTTGCTAGGAAAGAATAACTGGGTCTTGTCAATCACACACATCATATGATGCTCTCCCCTCCCTTGGGCATCACTCTCGGCCTCCATTTCCCTTTAACGATCAGCAGCTCTTGATTTCGGGGGGCAGCCTGTTAAGGGTCTTACCTTATTCTTGCTGCTCTCACATGACTGTAAGCTGGCTAGGATCTGGCTCTCGATGGCTTGGACCCACGCATCTCGCTCCTCATATGTGGTGGCTTCAAAGTGCCACGTCTGGCCAGTGAGGGACACAATGATAAACTCAAAGTTTTCTTCTTGTTCTGAAACACAGAGTGGAGGGGATGAAGAGTTTAGCTTTCATGAGACCGCAGCCCCTCTGCCAGTCCTTGGTCATAAAAGTGCCTTTGGGTTCAATCGCGCCTGCATGGGGCTGGCGGCACACACAGGACTGGCCGGCTACACAGCGGAGATCTGAATCCGCAGACCTCCAAACACTCAAGATTTGGTTCCTAAAGCCAGCATGGTTTAGCTAGGTTTCAATCAATGCTCAGGGGATGAGGAAAAATGAAAACCAGCGTGTGATGTCAGTGTCTCTGGGTTGGGTACGCATGAAGCAACTTAAGAAAATCACATTGTAACTTACTGCTGACCATCGACATCTGTGGGAAGAAAATTAAGTTAATATTGTTAATCTTGGGATACAGTTTTAATTTCCTTATAAGCGTCAGTGTGTAGATCCAGAGATGCACAGACTGGGAGGGTGGGGGGATTACAGGCGATTTGAAGAGACTTTGTGGCCACCATGGGCACCTGTCTGGATTGGGAAGAGCAGGACTAGTATTCAGATCTCGCTATGCCACTTGCCACATCGGGGTTGTCGGACAAGTTCTTGATTCCTCCAAGGCTGGTTCCCTCACCTTACGACGGGGGAAGGGGCCGCCTCCTTCAGAGTGTTTTCCACTGGCTAAGTGATGTGTAGTAACTCAGGCCAACACAGAGCCCGCGCTGTGGGAGACACTCCATAAATGTCGGCGTTTGTCCTCTATTGTCATCTACCCCCTGGTCCTGCCACAGAAACAAAATAGAGAGGAGGCCCTACATATAAATAGCATCATCAGCTACAAATAACCATGAGGAAATCCTGAGCTGAGTTTCTAGGCACAACACCTCATTTGATTCATAGTTTCCAATCACTAGTCTGGGAACTGGCTGTATTACAATCACCTGGTGAGCAATTGTTATTAATGATGACAACCTTCCTACCTACCCGGCCCACCACTGTTTTAGTTATTATCTCAGTCATCTGCACATGGCCACTTGGCTCACTCACATCCACTGCATGAACCTCTGAATTTCCATGCTCACAGCCCCTGACCTCCAGCCCCTGACCTCTGCTGGGCTCTGTGCTGCCCGGGCGGCCCCACCCCTTCTCTAGATGGCTCTCCCAAGGCCCTGCCTCACCAGGAGCCCTTCAGCCTCTGAGACAAGGATGCTCACTCAGCTTGTCTCCAAAGCAACTACAGCCATGTCCAGCATCCTCTCCTCCTTCCCTTCCGTCTCAAGAGAGAAGCAGCCCCCACTCTTGTGGCTGAGACCCCTCCCACCTGACCCCATTGATCCCTGGGGGGTGGGGACAGGGCCCAGGAATGGGAGACTCATGTCCTTCTTAACGCACAGCCAGGTCTGGGGAACTGATTCCCTAAACTACCACCAACTGCCATGGAAACAGGGCCATGACACTTTTGGGGGAAATCTTTACATATTCTGGCAATAACAGTACTGTGTTCTGCGTAAAACCAGCATGGCTGCTCTTTTCAAATTTAACCCTCCTGGCGAGTTGGGCCTAAATCTGTGGAACCAGCTCCAAGGGGCCCAAAGGGAGGGAAGGCGGGCACATTTGTTTGCCAAACCACTGGTGAAGGGCTTCTCCTATTAGCGTGCCCAGCCTCACCGAGCATAATGACGTTTCTGGGACAAGAGGGTCTACCGCTTCCTCCAGCTTCCCAAAGGCCTGTGATTCTCTGTGGAGATGTTAAAAGCTGCAACGAGGGTGCACTGGGGGGGCTGCAGGAAAGTGCTGGGGTGCACGTACTGAGTGTAAGTCAGGCCACCCCCTGAAAAGGGCCAAGCTGGGCTTCATTTGGAGCAGGTGTGGAAAGCTCAGACAAGGGGCTGCACGGGGATGCTCTTTGAAGGGGGGGAGGAGAGGAGCAGCTGACTTCAACATGAGACATGGGAGCCTCCAGAAGGCGTCTTCCACATTATGCTAGTATCCCACGTTCTCGGAATCTCTTGGGTTCCTGAGGTCTGGAGAGCTAGTGATTAGAGTTCTGAAAGTGAGACAGTCATCCGAAATTGAACCCCAATCTATCGGGCTCTTGAGTCGGAAAACAAACGACCCCTGTGTTTATGCAGAAGCAGAACACCCCACTTGCTGTGGAAAAGGGAGGTGGGAGAGAAAGGCTGGGGGCAGTGGCGTCTGCAGATCCCTCGCCCCCACCCCAGTAATGTCCCCGGACACTCATGAGACTTGTTGGGATTTTCATTTAAAAAATTAGCTGTGACTTTCATGCAGGTCTCCCCACGGCTGACCTGCAATTACACCTTGTAATTACTGGCTGAGACGCTACATCTGTGGATTTTAAAAGGCCCAGCTTCCTGATCCACAGGCTTTTATGTCCTAATACTATGAATTACAACCTTTTCCATACTGATTCTTGCAGGATAGTGCCCTAAATTTACACATTTTATGCAAAACTACCCTGGTAAACTAATAGGCAAGGCAAGAAAGAGCTACATAAGTCACAGTTAGGCCACCAGGAAAATCTGGTAATTCGTGGGAAGAAGCTGACAACTGTAGCCTGGGACATCTACCGAACAGGCTCATCCTTCCTCAATCTGTGAAACTGGAATACACAGACAAAAGCTCCCTCTGAGCAGGAGGTATTAGAGCTTTTAGCAAAAAAAAATTACCATCATTAGCTTCCCAGTTAAATTTCTGCACAACTGGCGTGCCATAAAGCTTTCCTGTTCAAATTTCTGGCCGGGATCATAAGCTACATCCCCTGGAACCAAAGGGAAAGAAGCTAACTTGCTTTACACCAAGGCCAGGCTCAGCGGCTGCGGCCGGCCGTCAGCTCCTCCCCGGTGGGCAGGGCACCTCGAGGGTGCAAGGGTTCCAGCTTGCAGGAGACAGTCTGTGCTCTCCAAACGTCTCCACGTGACAGGGACAGGCACACACAGACACTCTGGGGTTAAATACAGAGCGATGGAAACAACAGTGGAGGTCTGAATACAGTGCCACAGAAACATCGATATTTTTTGTCTTGTTCCAATGCAGTAGTTGGTTTGGGCATCTTCTGCTAAAATACTCTCAATACCTCATGCAAAGACAAAACTTCCAAGTTAAGTTGCTAAAGTATAGTTTGGCTTTGCCCTATGAACTATGTAAACGAAATTTACCTACCCATGCAAAATCTACTTAAGGGAACAAATATATTTAAGTGTTTGCAGGAACATCAGAGTTCATTTCTTACAAATTTCCAAATGTACTCTCCCTACAGCATCTCTTCTACAGCCTCTCACTCTTCTTAAAAATCAATTCCACCAGCTACCTTCTCCTTCTTCCGGAAGCAAGTTTCCTGTCCTAATATCTTCTATGTCACGAAACACTTCTGTCTCGACTTTCACTTCATGGTCCTTCTCTGCGCCCCACCCCCGCGCTTCCTTTACCTGGTCCCCTTACCTTCTTGTGGAGCTGGGTTCAGCAATGATTTCCTCATCTATTCCAAACCCAATGACCCCCTTCTTCTTGACCTGCACTCAGGACACTCACCCCTACTCCACACAGATACATTCCTTGATCTCACTCCATCCTCTAGCGATTGCCTCTTCCCATCCCCCTTCCCGTCCACCATTCTCAAAGTGCTCACGTTACCTGAGCATGCTCCCCTTAACCACTTCCTTTTCTCTAACAAAGTCCCCCTCGTCTATTCTACTGAAGCATCACTTTATACGATTACAGGTGAACTGATAGCCAGGGCCCACGGGTTTCCCACAGACCCCTTTCTCTCTGGAGTGTCTGGCATTGTTGACTGTGACCACCATCTTGTGACTTTCCCCCTTGGTCCTCTGAGCTGCTCAATCACCTTGAATATGCACCTGGATGTGAACAGGCATTTATGAGGATGGACAAAAGGGATGCGGGTAGAGTTCCATGGGTGAACAACTCACTGGAAGAGTCCATCCAAAGGGTACTAATTACTGGAACCTGGAAGGAGGTGTGGAGTGGCATACCGTGGGACTTTGAGCTCAGTCTTGCCTGTCCAACATTTTTATCGATGACTTGGATGAGGGCACATAAAGTCTGCTTATCAAATTCTGAAAGGGCAGACGGTTGGAGGACCACAGATAAACAAGGGTTTCAACCCCAGAGTTTAAAAAGGGGACTTCAGAGCCGGTGATGACTCAAAAGGTGAAATGCCTCACGGACAGCTAGGAATTCCTGCCCTTGGATCCCAGAGGCAAGCGAGGTTTGGTGGAGATTTTGTTTACCAGCTTCAAACGTGCAAAGGCTGAGCGACTGCAGTCAACACCCATCCCAAAGAGAAGTAATCTACAGCACGAGGCTGCCAGTAAGAATGCAGGCCACAAGTGTGTCATCTACACTGAGGGGGAGGTGGTTCTGCTCTGCTCCTGTTCAGGACCCTTCTGTGCTGTGCCATCACCCAGGGTGGACCTCAGGAGCATCACAAAAAGAGCAGGACACCAGGAACCACCCAATGGAGATTCATGAGTTCTGAGAGAAGATGGGTGATGCCTGTTCTAGGGAGCCCTGAGGAGTCCCCAAGACAGAAAACCGATGGACTCCACTGGTGGGAGATTCTCTCCCCATCAGAGCTATCCACAGGTGGAGCAGCCAACTTTTGGATTCTGCTCCCTTGGGCTTCAATGCCTTGTGTGGCCCTTTCAGTGGGAGACTGGAGGGAACTCAGCACCTCAAAGATGACCACTAGGGCCCTTTCAACTGAGATGCTGTGGGAGGGATGCAAGATAGTTCTCAACTCCTTTGTTACTGGGAGACCTTTGAGAAGCTGCCAGGCATCCCATGGTGGGGATTCCAAGACTGGCTCCAGGCTCTCAAGAGAATAAGTGCCACAATCAAATAGCAATGTCTGCCCTAGGGCAAGGAAGGGTGCATGTGGCATACTTGCCATCTGTTTACCAAGCTCAACTATAGTATTCTTTCTAGATTTTTAACCACTGCTTCTTTTTCTCCCCTCTGGCTCCTCTGCATGTGTTCATCAGGGAAGCAGATTCC